AGAAACTCACTAAAAAGTTATAGCCTAAAAACAAGCTGATCCAGAGTTATGAAATTCTCCAAGTCTAAAACTTTTGTGCTGAAAAGATTGTCTCCTTAAAGCTATAGACTTCTAGACACTGGAATAGTGTTATCAAAAGAATGAGTTTTTCACAGAAAGAGAGTCCCTTGATTCTCATTGTCCATCAAAGTAATCTATTTTATTCTTAGGAATCACTATGAAACAAGAATCAGAATCGAATTCAAGAATAACCCATCAACAGCAAAGTCTCAAGATTCCCTTTAAAACCAAAGAAAAAAGGAGCAAATTCAAGTACAAAAAGGATCAGAACCCAATAAAGGAAAACAGATAAATTAGTCATAAACAGAAAGAGATCCGAAAGTAGGAACCAGACCTTCATTTGTGTTGGACCCTTTTTTTTTTATGAAGGAATTGCAGAGATCAAAAACCAGAGAGCTTTGGAGGGAAAGGTGCAAAAAAGAAGAGATAGAGAGATAAGAAGGAAAATGGGGTGTTGAAAACAAAAAGCAGAAGAAGAGACGTAATGGAATAATGCTTGGTTTGAAAAAGATAGAGAGGCTTGGACAGATTACAAAGGCAAAAGAAGAAAATCCGAATCAAAACAAGAAATGCAGAATAGGAGAGAGAAAAGAAAGAAAAAAAAAAAGTAGGCAGAACACGAGGACAGAGAGAAAGAGAAGGAATCAGAGAGCACTAATGTTGAAGGAAGTGAATACTAGTGGCGATAGATAGGAGTTTATAGGAGTGTTCATGAGAAAGAGAGAGAGAGAGAGAGAGGAAGGAAGAGGAAACATGAAAAGCAGTAAAAGAACTATCGCTGTCTGAGTCATCTCCACGCTTTTGAAAGGGGCGTTGCAACCACACCAATGCCACATTTTTATTTTACTCTTTCTTTATAGTTTATTTTTTTTTCAAGTCAAAAAGTATATATTTTTGGTCTATTGTGTACAAAAATAGAAACTTAATATTATTTATTATTTATAATTTTGTTTAACCCAATTTTATTTAAAAAAAACATAATACCTAACATATTAAATCAAGCTTTTATAGTTTTTAAATTAAATAAATTTTTATTATTAATAGTTAACTAATTATTATTATTTAAAATATAATCATTTTACATTTAATTACGATGATATACATATTGATATATTATAATGAATAATCTACATAAATATCATGTTAACATGATATATTTAAAAAAATTAATAAATAATATTTTAGTTAATAAAAAATTGTTAATTTTTGATTATATATATTTATTTAATTTAAAATATAAATAATTAAATTTAATTATATTAATAAAAATAAAAATTTATTTAAATTTTTTTAATAATTTAGGGACTTTTTAATACACTATGTGTCAACGAATTATAACAAAACGGTACAACATTAAATTCACGGACATTGACAAACTTTTTTTACTCACAAATTAATTAGCTTTCAGTAAATTTTTCATGCACAGTACATTTCTACCCCAGACATTTTACAATTTGGTGGAGCATAAATTATTGAAGCTTTTGAGCAATAAATAAATAAACTATTGAAGCCATGAAAAAAATTAAATTAAATTTTGTTTAAAAGAAAAGGACTGCAAAAATTCGAGAGCAGGTGATTTCCGAGAATGGCTCCCACAAGTGTCAGGTGCAAATTTAGTACACAGGTATTTTTTTTTACACTCGAGGGCGTGAATTTGCATGTACTGCACATCGTGGCGCTTGGCCTTAACGTCTCACGTACTTGACGTACTGGAACAATTGAAAATAACCGACGGAGTCGCCAAGTTGGGCCTATAGACCGGAGCGTGGTCCCCACCAGTCAAATTTCCACGTCTGCACCGGCGGGTTTTGAAAATTACGGCGGCGAAGCCACTCCCGACTATCGCAACCACACCCTCTGTAAAATCAATGAAACTTTGAATGCAGACATTTCAGTCTTTTGCTTCAACAGTCACGTGACACGTGGATGTTCAAACACTTGACAGGTTCCAACCATGCTCCTCTTCTCCTATAATTGAAGTCCACGTAATGAAATTTTCGACAGGTGAAAACCTGCACGAGTGGGATTTCAGAAAAAAGCTTCCACTCCTAATAAAGTTAAATTTGTGATTTAACAGAAATTATTATTTTAATTTAAACAAAAAATGGCTGCCAGAGTTTACACCATGATATTCAATTTCACTCAATTAGAAAATGACTTTAATTTTTATAATATTTTAAAAAATAATAATTTAAATTAAATTTATTTAATAATAAAAATCAAACAGAGACAAATAAAATAGTAAAAAGAGTAGTAATTTACGAAAAAGCATATTGTGTGAGCTGTCTTTCTCTTTCTAACCATTATTCTTTTAAGGATTATTATGGCTATATTTGTCAAAGCACATATTTTCACTTAACTATATATGCCCTAAAAATTTTTAACATGATTGAGGACTGAGTAGGAACGATATGATCTTACGCGATTATTGCATCTACTATTGTACCAACTAGCACTTTCTTTCGACATTTAACTACCTCCAAAAACAGTAAAAAGAAAAATGATTTCACATAAAAAATTATTACAACATTCATATATTAAAAAAACAAAAATTAGATTGCAATTAGACTTTAAATATCTATGTCATAAATTTCACATTGAAAAAACATAAAATGTGTCTTAAGTTTATAATTAAGGATCTACTTATCTCTTATAAACATATTTTTTGAATTAAAAATTTTGATTCATGACAAATGATATTAAATTTTTTATAAAAAATACAAATGTTGAAAATCAAGGTAAATTTAAATTAAAGTGAATATTTTTCATTTATGAATAAAAAAAAGTCAACATAATAAGGGCATTATATAATTAATTCATTTAATAAACATGTATTTTAGTTGATAAGTGTGGAGCTATCACATTTATACAAATTTGAAAAATGTCACATCAAATGACTGAAAACTACTATACATTAAAAATCAAATTCATGATACACAAATGGTTGGATGCATGCATGCCAATTGTTCAAAATCAGTTTCATTAATTACTCACTACATTAAATATATGCTAAAAAGTCCATATATATATATATAAAAATACGTATACACAACAGAAAAAAAAGAAATCAAACGGGCAGAGTGCTTCATGATTTGAACTGTGACCACCTACTCCTCCCTGGACATACAACCCTCCTGCCTACCTACTACTTCTGATTTGAAGCTGTTGGTCAACAATATATTACAATTGCATGAATATATGTGGCAATTTGCAAGATAATTAGTAAATTCTCTTTAAGGAAAAACGACAACTATATGCATCGAATGCTGCAGAGGCGTACGTAGGCCTGGGTCTGGCTTCAATCGATGGCCGTTAGTTAACTGGAGCATTCCTGCCAGAGAATGATGAAGGACCACGAGGGCTAGTTGGCAGTGCCTGCTTTTTCACGCAGATGGTACCACGCCATTATAATTTGGTGCAGACATTGTGGAAAAAGTTTCAGACATTTTCGTTTTTAGCTATAATCTTCCAGATACCATACTTCATTAATTCCCAATTTATTAATATAATAGAGTTTGGACAGCCAGCTAGTTAGCTGCTGTTCTGATACTATAAATTAGCTAATTATTGCCTCTGGCCGCCAGCTCCTGATTAATTAAACAGATGGGTCTCTTTTTGTTTGTGTGGTTTTGATGTTTGATTTAGTATCCGCTTTTGAACTTGTTGAGTATTTTGACAGATTAGTCCATTATTTAATATATGGGATAAACCTTTATTTGTTAAAGAGTTTGATTTTTACTAAATATCACTTTTGTGTGAAATAATTTATTTTTTTTGTATGTGTATTATTTTTTTTTCTTTTAATTACTTGACTTTTTATATCATTAAAAGTCTTTTATTTATAAGATTTAAGACTTACTATAACATATAAAATTAATAAAATTTTTACTTTAAAAAAAAATTAAACAGATGGTTCGCAGCAGGAGGTGTATTTGACGGAACATTCTTTTCGGAATTCGGAGCCAAGCCCAGTATTTGGTTTACTTTTGTAGTCAGAAAAAAGTTACAGCCATGTCAAACAAAGGCTTAATATGATTTTAACCATGACGAAGCTAAAGCTATCCAAAAAGTAAGAATTAGTACTACTATCATCATTTGATTTACTCACAAACAATGTCAACTTTGCAGTCATAGGTTTCAATTATTAAAAGCCCGTCAACTGGAACTGCCTGCCTGGAAAAAGTATAGTGTCGAGCCTTGGAAATTCGTAGAGGACATAATTACCAGCCATATATATATATATGTTTGATTTTCAGAAATTTTCGTGTGGATGGTAATAGCATAGGAAGCTATCATTTCTGTTATATCAGCACAATGCCTTTTGCTGTTTTCAGCCATGCATGGCGACAGTGATATACGAATCTTTGGCTGTCGATCGAAAAGGTGATGGTAGCGTGGCCGGCCTATGTTGGCTTTGAGGTCCCCAACCAAGAGAGGGCGGAGAGACTTTTTATAAAGAATTCTCCACAGCCATCAATGGTATTTATTGCTCTTTTCTTTTATTTCTTGCTGACAAATTTTCGATAAAATCAATAATTTATTGTTGAAGTGACATTTGATTCTTAACGGATTTTGGTTTATAAGAGTGGTATTTTTATTATACACGTATTTAAAAAAAATGTTAATAGGTATTTTCTAATGGTATCTTACAATTTTTCGAATTTAATATCGATTAAAAAAGATTGAAACATTTTCTGATCATATTTGAATTGTAAATTTGAGTGATATTTTTGACATAATATTTAAAAAATTAAATTATTTAAAATTTTTTAAATAAATTATTATTTTTTATATTTATTTTTTTACTGTTTGCTTTTTTGAAAAATTATCATAAAAGAAAAGTTAAAAGTTAAAACCAATGTCAAAATTGCTTTGAAATTTCAAATAATGAAAATTTAACATCAATTATAATAAAATTAGTTTATGAGACTTTGTTTTCTAAAATATATTAGATGGATTGGGTACCTAAATCCATGATTTGAAAGATTAAAGCCCAACAGGTTGAGGGTGGGCGGAGCCATTGATCATTTGATTGAGTTTGGGTTAGGTTCTGGGCTCAATTATTGGTCTAATGAAAGCAGGTCTACCATCTATTTTTATAATTGGCCTTAACTTTTATGAGTATTGACTTTTGGATCTGCTAAGGAATCTGATCGAAGATTCTAAGATCGTCGGCCCATGCCGAACGAAAATCAGAAGGGAAACGTGACATTCACGTGTCCTTTTTAACCATCCTCGCTTTACCCTACCTCCCCGTCTCCACCTTATAAGTTACAGGGTTCAATTTGACTCGGTCGTTCGCTCGTTGCCACTGCCAAATCAATTAACTAAAAAAAAAAAAAAATCACAACAAACCTCAGGAAAAAAAAAATATCAATTCCTTTTCGACTTTTTATCCTCGACCTCAATCTTCCAAAACCCTAAAATTTTTCCCAAGCGAATTCTCGTTTCTTTTTTCTCCCCATTCGTTATTCATGGTTATCCCCAAATTCTCCTGCCATTGACTCCTTATCGTTTCCATCCTCTAATTTTCAAACATCCATGGACCGTCAAGAGCATGATCTGTCGCCAATTCTGGTCCCGAAAACCTCAAATTCGTACAATCTTATGAACAATTCCTCACTATGGCTGGAAATCCGTCTCATTTACGTTCGAATCGCACCGTGCGTGATCGACAGCGTCCCCGACCATCTCACCCTCTGCCACCTCCGTCGTGAAATCGGTGTATCCCTCGAAATCAACGGCTCTCGTGTCCCTGCCTCTGATTCCGCTTCCCTTACCCTCCGCCGCGACCGTCTCAACAAAGAATCGTCCGAGGTCACTTATTTAAACACCGACAGCGTTCGCATCACGGGAGGTTTTGAATTCGAGGTATATGAGGATGAAAAGAAGGTATTGTTGTGTGGGTCGTTGGAGAGGATGGAAGGAGAGTGGAGCATGGATTGTTTTATAGCGGCAGCGGCTATGGAGCCTGGGAATTCGGCGTTTTTTTCAGCCAAGAATGGGGGTTTCGGCGCCAGGGATTGAAGTTTACATAGCGGGGTGTTGTGCGGGTGTGCCTGTGATATTGACCAAGACGATACTTGTGAGTCCTAGGAGGAAAGGAGGATCGAGGCTTAGTGGGACGTTGGATGCAATTCCGGAGGATGAGGAGATTGGCAAAGGGAATAATAAGGATGGCAATGGATTGATTAGACACCGGAAATTTCAGGTAAAATTGGAATTGGTTTTAATGTCTTAATTTTATTTTTCTATTTGATCATTGTTCGTAACGTGGATGTATATACAAGCATGGTAGAGGGGGATTGACATTGTGTGGAAAATGCTGATTGTTTAAAAATCTTATGACACAGTTTAAGAGGTTAATTATGGCCTTAGCGTACAAAGACTGTTATATAATTCTGCTGAATTGAAATGCAATGTTTCTGGGCTTTGTGTTTGTATATGATGGGAAGTTTGTTCTGGTGTAAGAGATTAGGCACCAGGGATACGAATGCAGTTGTTTTTAGGGATAATGTTGCTGTTCTACCTGTGTTCCGATGAAGGATTGTTGTTGTCTGTGTTGGTGTAATGATGATTACACCCTTTATTCCTAACTTTTAACATTTGAGGCTGCTTATTCTCTGCTTGTTTAGCTAGCTGAGTGATTTAGGGTATTTGTCAGCTTTTCTGAGTAATCTGTTTTCAATATTATACCCACCCGAATCTGTCTCTTAAATTCATTTTTAAGGGAACAAATGTAATTTTGTCTTGTCTTGGAGGCATAGCGATAACAGCAGCCTTGTATGATGTTATAATAATGTTGCAAAAATGTAGGATGATTGCTGCTTTGGTTTTCTTATTTTCATATGTATAGGTGTATTAGAAATTTGTTTTTACCTGTAACTATGTGCTTGGAAAAAGCAATGGGGATATTGAAACGTGTTTGTTTGGTGTCTTTAAGCAGATTCTTAGAAGCTTTGATTGATCTTATTAGCAATTCAATTTGCCCAGAAGTGGACATCTTGCTATTAATTGCTGTTCTTTCTTACTAAAATAGAATAATTATTTTGGTGGTGTGCAGATTACGGAAGCAGGAGCTGAAGATTATGACTCTGATGGGAAACTTGGACACAGTTACTACTCTGAAGAAATGTATGCCAGTGAGGATGGCCAACTTTCGTGGTTTAATGCTGGTGTTAGAGTTGGTGTTGGAATTGGCCTTGGGATGTGTCTCGGGATTGGAATTGGAGTTGGACTGCTAATGCGATCATATCAAGCAACTACCAGGAATTTTAGGAGGAAGTTTTTCTAAGATTGATCACTTCACCTGACTAAGTGATGTTCTTGTTTAATTATAAAGGAAAAACAAATCTTTCAGGGTTTTGTTAGTAGTCTGGAAGATATCAGGGTTGCAGGCCAGAAACGAAAGAAAAGTTCAAGATAGCAACTCATGATTATAAAGTCTGGTGGGTTCTGGTAGGTGGGTGGAAGTTGTTTGTTTAGCATGTTGAAGATATGAAATCCCTTAGAGAATCTGCTATAGTATGTACGTCTTCTATCTCCTGCATATTACTGATTACCAGACCATGAATATACTGGTTCAGAAAAAAAAAAAAAAGGTCGAACCTGCTCAGTGTTCGGATGAGAATGTACTGCCACTTTAATTCATGTGATGAGCCTGCAGGTCATATAGCCTTGTTCAGCAAGTTGGGGTGGTGTGAGTCTTCATCCACAAAAACTGTATCTAGTTTTCTATATATTGTAGAAATTTTGCGTTGTGGTGGTCTGTGGGAAGATAAAATGCTTGTTGTTTTTGTAGGCAATGTAAAAGTTTTATGTTCTTGTATCAACTTAGAGTGATTCTTCTATTCAATTTATTAGTTTGCAAGCTGTGAGTCTTCTGCTGCTTTCTCGCAAGAAATGGAAGTCTCTGTCTAATTTGTAATTTATGTTAGAGGTATCACTTGTGCGCTTATGAAGTTGTTTGGTGAGTCTTGGAGACTCGCTGCTACCTATTCCCATGGGTGTATGCTGCCAATTTTAACTTATTGCTTAGTTTGGCTGCTGATATGATAAAATACACAAAAGAATATTAGAAATTCCTTCTCAAACTCCATAAGCAAACAAGAATTCAGCGTCTTCCATGGTGATTACGGGAGAACCCGGGTATTATCTCAGATATGGTGGTTGATAGGAAGTTAGAAGCCGCCTGCATGGATGGAGTTTGGACATCCACGAACTTTGGCTCCTGGTAGAGAAACAGAGGAAAGCAGAAATCATGTTAGGATCATGTGAATGTCATTGAACCCTTCAAAAATCCCATGCCTTGCCAACTTGTCATGCATGTTCAAACCGTTGCGGAGCACGCCGCTAATTGCCAAAATTGGGACATAAATGGAATTTGCAAACTTTATAACGTCATCTGGAAGTGAGTTGAGTTGACAGCTACGGGGACATACATTTCATTACTTTGAACTCCTCCCGAAGCTGAGGAGCTACAAACAGCAATGTATCAGCAGAATCTATAATCATAGACGTCTTTGCAGTTTAGCTTAGGATCCCCTTCCCAAACTTCAGCCCCTGAAGATGCCCAAAATTACATCCGTAAACCCTAACCTGTAACCACCACCAAAAACTCTTGCCCCCCTCGTTCCTCGAGCCAACAGCGCGGGATTCGACGATGAACACTACCACAACCACAAAGACGTCGTCTAGACTCAGATCCTCTGCCGCAATGCCTCACCGTAACAATCCTACCCCTCTCCCTTTGGTCGTCTCCCTCAACTGCATCGAAGATTGCGTCCTCGAACAAGAATCCTTAGCCGGCGTCGCACTGGTCGAGCACGTTCCTCTCAGCCGCTTAGGCGACGGGAAGATCGAGGCGGCCGCAGCCGTCCTCCTCCACTCCCTCGCCTACCTCCCCCGAGCTGCCCAGCGTCGACTCTGTCCTTACCAGCTCATCCTCTGCCTGGGGTCCTCCGACCGCGCTGTCGACTCCGCCTTAGCCGCTGATCTCGGACTCCGTCTTGTCCATGTCGATGCCTCGCGAGCTGAGGAGATCGCCGACACTGTTATGGCGCTGTTTCTTGGCTTGCTCCGTCGCACGCACTTGCTCTCTCGCCACGCTCTTTCGGCTTCCGGCTGGCTCGGCTCGGTTCAGCCACTTTGTCGGGGAATGAGGCGGTGTCGAGGACTAGTGTTGGGAATTGTTGGTAGATCTGCGTCGGCTCGGTCTTTGGCATCCAGAAGCTTAGCTTTCAAAATGAGTGTGCTTTATTTTGATGTTGTAGAGGTACAAAGTTACAGCAAATTTACCTCTATTTTCTTAACTGATTGTAGTTTAATAACTAGAAATCTGCTACATTGTTAAAAATGCTGTAGTTCATAAGATTTTTGAATTTGCTATTGATCAAATAAATTTGGTAACTAGGTGAAAAATCAAGTAGCATTTTAGCCAATTTGTATTAAAGCTTAGCATTTTAGTGCTTGCTTATTTAGGAAACTTAGAAAGAACTGATGCCTTATTGGTTTATCTTCTCGGGCAGCAACTTTGTGAAAAGTGTTATAGAATTTCTCATTGGGGTACGACTCAAAATGCACACTATCTGAAACAGTCTAAGCAAGTTTAATTGAACTGTCAACCTTGGGAGAGTTAAGCACATTATAACTTAATCGCAATATGCATCTTGAGCTGGATCTGAAGATCTTAAAGTTACATTCGGTTATGCCTTATTTGGTAATTTGGAAAATAATAATGGATCTACCATTTCAAATTGTATTTAAATTGAAAACGAGCATCACTAAGGTTTTAATGGTATATATATACATACGCCTATAAATTCAAGGTTATCCATGCACACGTTTTAGCTTTTATGAGTTATTTATATAATTCAGCATTGATCTGTGAGGTTGATTTTCTGTTGGAATAATTTTCTTCCTGAATCATGTTTGCACAGGAAAATGGAAAAGCAAGTAGGTCCTCTATAACTTTCCCATCAGCTGCCCGTAGAATGGATACTCTTAATGATTTACTAGCTGCAAGTGACCTTATATCGCTTCATTGCACTTTAACAAACGAAACTGTTCAGATTATAAATGCTGAATGTTTGCAGCATGTAAAACCTGGTATATTTGCTTTCATATTTTTGAGTTCCCTATTTCTTCTTCTTCTTCTTTTTTAATTATGATTTATCCTCTTTGCTATTGTATGAATTTGTTTCTTTTTTGGGGGTGCTTCCTGACAGGGGCTTTTCTTGTGAATACGGGTAGCAGTCAGCTGTTGGATGATTGTGCATTGAAGCAGCTTCTCATTGATGGTACCTTAGCTGGTTGTGCCTTGGATGGAGCTGAAGGGCCACAGTGGATGGAAGCATGGGTATGATAAAAGTTCTTAGTCTATGAGTTCCGATGTTGTTGTGCTATGCTGTTTTCTTAGGAAGGTAGCTAGAATCTTTCAAAGTGTGTGTGCCTGTATGGAAGTGGTTCATTTTCTTGCTTTGAAACTGCTGAAAAGTCTCTTGGTTTGTAGTCAGATTGAAAGGTCAGTAAATGCTAATTAAATGAGGTCAGCTTTGCTATAGGTTCTACTGCTCTTCCAATAGCATCTTATTTCCATTCCATTACGTACCAGATTCATGCCATTCACCATAACTTTCCTTTTCGGTAGAGTTCTGTTCTAATACATGCAAATTCCAAGCATATACTGGGGTGTAGTGACAATTGAGAATGGAAGGTTGGGGGAAGAGATTGCTTAGCTTGAATCTTCTAATTCTGCTTCGCTTTCTCTCCTTCCTCATCTTCCTATCTTCCACTAACATAAAAGAGTATTTACCAGTTTTTTGATAGAAAGAGTTGATTTTGATTGAGGAAGTAGTTAATTGGCTGGGGGATGAATATTGCCATTTCCTATTGCATAACTAAGATTATTGAAGATGTTGCTAATTAAATTCTTACAACATCTTTGGTTCAGGTGAAGGAGATGCCCAATGTATTGATACTTCCACGTAGTGCAGATTATAGTGAAGAAGTGTGGATGGAGATAAGGGAGAAGGCTATCTCTATGTTGCAGACATTCTTCTTTGAAGGGGTTATTCCAAAGGATGCCATTTCTGATGGGGACGAGGAAGAAAGTGAAATAGTTGATGAAAAAGGACAGTTTAGTAGACAAGACAAAGAAAGTGCTTTGCAGGGATCTACTAGTGAACAATTGACTGATGATATTCAACTAAGTCCTGAAAGCTCCCTTAAGAAGGATGTCAATCAATCTAAGGAGTATCCTAATCAGAATCAGGGTTCAGGTTTGTCTCATAACACTGCCACTAAATCAGACACAAGACGTGGCAGATCGGGTAAAAAGGCCAAAAAGAGGCATGCTCGTCAAAAAACCCTACAAAAACCAGACGAACCCTTAATATTAGAGAAAGAAAGTACTTCGCAAAGAGAAGATGACACTGCCATGAGTGGCACGGATCAAGCATTAAGTTCTGGTTCTCGGTCTCCTGAAGACTCAAGAAGTAGGAAAACGCCTATGGAATTAATGCAAGGGTCAACTTCCGACCAGCTTCTTAAAGCTAGCAAGAAACTCAGTGGACTATCCGCTGATACGCTGAAGGATGGATATGTTATAGCTTTGTATGCAAGAGATCGCACTGCACTCCATGTGTCCAGGCAAAGAGTTAAAGGCGGTGGTTGGTTCCTAGACACCATGTCAAATGTAACCAAAAGAGATCCTGCAGCACAGTTCCTTGTTGTCTATAGAAGCAAGGTTAGTTGGCAGGAACTTGTGTCTTTTGCTGTTGGTCCTTAGTTTCTGCCTTCGCTTAAAATTATCATGGTGGGCGTAGTTTGAATTAATTAACTGTAATTCTTGTCCTTTGGCTAAGTTTAGTTGAAATTTTTTGTTGCACTTTTTCAGGACACTATTGGTCTGCGTTCCTTTGCTGCTGGTGGGAAGTTGTTGCAGGTAACTTCACATTTTTACAAATTACTAGGGAGTGCTTTTTAAGCATGGCTTCAGTGAAAACCTTGTATATCTTTTGATCGTTTCTTAGCTCAAGAAGCCTTGCTATGAATTGGTTCTAAAGATTTTAGTTAAATAGCTGGTTAGGGTAAGTTTTTAATAAACAGTGCACATTAGCATTTTTTGTTTTGAAGTTCTCTAATTTGCTGCTGTTTTTTGTTAAAGCATTGATTAAAATAATTAACTTTGTTACTTTAAATGAGGAAGTAGTTATGTTTAGTTTATCATGAGAATCATGCAATTCCTATGACATACTCGGCTTGGTGGCTTTATTTTTGGTCCCAATAGAGCGCATTTTTTTGCTGCTGGGGTTTGTTTTAGAGACATTGAATTTGCTAGATCCAAAGCTACAACTTAGGTAAAGTGAATAGACATTTCAAGAAAAAAAGAATAGCAGATTTTCATTCACAATGTGTCTAAAAAGTTTCTTGTATACTTGAGGTGTAGGTTTACTTACTAAATAATAATGCTAGTACGAGGCAGTTTGTGCATTGAGAATTTTTTTCTGTTTTATTGTTCTAATTCATTTGAAGTTTCTGCTTCGGGATTGTGGGATGATGTCAGGCTCTGATGTCTTGTCTTATCATGGCAGATTAATAGAAGAATGGAATTTGTATTTGCCAGTCACAGCTTTGATGTTTGGGAGAGTTGGACATTGCAAGGTCCTTTGGAGGAATGTAGACTGGTCAACTGTAGAAATCCTTCAGTAAGTTCCCTTCACTTCTGTCGTCCTCGTCATTTTGTGCTATGAGCTACATATGGGCTGGCAATTATGAATCCTCGTGGGTTGTAAGGTTTTAAGTCCCGGAAGATTTGTAACTGGCTGAGCATTGTATACTGACTATATAGTATATGACTACCGTAATCCCTGGGATAGCTGTGTCTCTCCATGGATTGTTCACCCTTTTTTTTTCCCGTCAATCTGTCATCTTCTCTCTTTTTTGATTTGCTTCCATTACTTCAAATTGCAGGCCATTTTAGATGTATGTGTCGAGATTCTGGCAGCAGTAGGGGAGGATGATGGCGTTACTCGCTGGCTGGATTAGTTTGTGAACAGATTTAGGGGGCTAACTTTTTCTTGCCTATTTTTTTTAACTCTTTCTGAGTTTGTATTTGCCAAAACATTCTGTAAAGCATTCTTTTACTCCTGTTTTCATTTTTTTTTTTTGGTTTTTGGAAGCATCATCAGGATTGTACGCCTTTTCTCTTGTGGCTTGTTGAGCCTAATGATGTAATGAATATACTTTACGCGAGAGGTTTCCTTCTTTTTTACTCGAGATGAGCTGCCTTTTTGCTTCTTATAAATCAATGGAAGAGTTGGCATTTTGGTATACAATCAAGATTTGCATTGGTGGCCATCCAATTATTGAAAATGAAAGAGGAGTTAGGTTGGGCTGGGCTACAACTTGGATGGTTGGTTGCCTAAGTCCGTGAGGCGTTTAAATGTGTTGTGATGAGGAAAATCGAGTACACTTATGGGGCACCCCCAAACCCAAAGTGACAATGGGCATGAAACGTGTGGTCAGTGCTCCTCAACCTGAAGGGGTTAAAAAACGTTGGGTCGGTCCCATTCCCACGTAATTTGTCAGGTTCGCTGTCAAAATAGTCATTGGCTCATGACTCACGCGACCTGACGCGAACCCCACTCCGCCGTCCTCTCTGGGCATAAAACCCGAACCCCCAATCTCATCATTTCAACTCTCTCGCCACGTTCTTGCTGCAAATCATCCATGCTTTAGACCAACGAAACCATGAGCATGAGTACTTAGCATTACAATAATATTGTTGCTACATTAAGCACTCATTTTCTTTCTTCCCTTCCTTTTTAAGGATTTATCTTTATTTAATGGCAGTGTTGAACAAAAGAAACAATACGACAGTGATACTTCCGGCAGTCGAAAATTTGAAAACCTTGTCCTGGTTGGTCATGAGAAACTGTTTACTGATTTTGACAGGACTGAGCTCAACCTTTGTTGGCCGTAAATTAATAAACGCATCGATTTAAGTAAATTACAAGAAACACTTACTTGTTACTGTCTGATTGGCAACATTGAAAGGAAAATCCTTCGCGTAATCCATTGAATTATTTGATAAATCCTGGTAGTTCAGCCAAACCACCTATGCTGCGTAGAATTCTAGGTGTAGGCTTTATGCGAACATTAAACAAATGTAAGAGATATTTTAAAAAACACGGCGGATAAAGCCACGATGCAGTGGAGTTCTGACCAGGCTAATAGGCTACGGCATATGTAGCACACGTGGCATCAGAATTTTACCTGCTACGACGTAGGTAGCACACGTGGCATCAGCTTTGCCCGTTCAACGTAAAAAAATTGGGAAATGATTTGATGACTGATTTCGCTGATTCAAACCTGAAAAGATTAATCTGACGGTATTTATCTAAGAAAATAAAGATTTATTTTTCTAAAATCTTTAGTAAAAAGTAAAAAAGGAATTCCTTTTAGTTTATCACTACCATTTACTAGGAGTACAGTACAGTTTGACTTTTCGGTCAAAATTCCGGAACCCAGCTGTACGGGCACACCGGTAAAACCTGCACCTATTTGTCCATAGGCGGTGGAGAATCCTAACTGCCACAATCGGAAAACTATTTTTTAAATATCCCGCACTCGCATAGAACTTTGCCACTTGTCGCTATTACCAATCCAAACGTTCAGATCCCTCCACGTGTACGGACATCTCCCCCCATCAGATAAAATCCAGAATTTTTTTGATTTTCTTTCTGCACCACAGACTTGTCTGCCCCCCTCTCTCTATAAAAGCTCCATCGTCAGTTCCTCACCACATTCATTTCTGTACTTTGTCTGACTCTCTAGGGAGCAAACAACAAGAAAAAGCAAACACAAAAAAAATAAAAAAAGAAATCCTAAGCCCTTAAACAGAAACCGAAATAAAACACCTTTAAAATTAATTTTCTTCTTTTTGTTATTTACTGAGGATTTACTCTTTGGGAGTTTCAAGCTTATGGTGTCCGTGAACCCCAACCCGGCTCAGGGGTTTTACTTTTTCGATCCCATGAATATGGGTCTTCCTGGTGTTAATACTCTGCCGCCTGCCAACACGGTGGCGCCACCTCATCCTCCTCCTGCTACCTCCATGTCGACGTCTATTGCCGGTAATACCGCACCGTATTTGGAGGATCCCAGTAAGAAGGTCCGGAAGCCTTATACTATTACCAAGTCTAGAGAGAGCTGGACCGAGCAGGAGCACGATAAGTTTCTCGAAGCTCTTCAATTGTCAGTAAATTTATTAAATTTTATTTACTCTCTCTTTTTCTTTTTTAATTTACGGATTTTTATGTTTGAGTTAGCTACTATGTGGTTAGTTGGCAAATTTAATTGAGTGAAGTGACAGAGACAGCGTCAATTCCCCCTTTTTTTTCTTGTTTTCTTAGTTTATTAGGTGCAAAACAGGGAATTAGGGTTTTAAATCGGGGTTTGGTAGTTAGTGGTGAATATGAAATGTTGATGCTTGTTTGGAATGTTTAGGGTTTATAAGTTACATTGATATGGCGGGTTTTGATTGTAGCTGCGGTTGCTGAAATATCTCGTGGGAAGGGAGAAAAGATTGAAAAAGTCAATCTCATTTCATGTTAAGTCGGGTTAAATGACAAAATTCAGAGAAGATTATGTGCTTATGAGATGACCTTGTTTGGTTGACTGGAATAAGATATTGATTTTAACTCCCAAGTACTATATGAAATTAAGTTAATTGAATGCATAAAATTTAAATTATCCCCTGAGGTATTTCTACATTGAGTGAGTCTGTTGCTTTATTTTCTAGATACACGTTTCCTGGCTCACAGTGCTGATGTGATTTTTGTTCACTTTACTCGTTTTAGATTTGATCGTGATTGGAAGAAGATTGAAGCTTTTGTTGGGTCGAAGACAGTGATCCAGGTAATTTAAAAGAGTTTATGACTTCATTCCACAAATGCTAGGCTATACGTTCTTTTGAATATGTTTTTCTGAATACTTAAATGGATTTTAATGGCAGATCCGTAGCCACGCGCAGAAGTATTTCCTAAAGGTTCAGAAAAATGGGACAAGCGAGCACGTACCTCCCCCTCGGCCAAAAAGGAAAGCATCTCATCCATACCCACAAAAAGCTCCCAAAAGTGGTCTGTATAGCCTACATTTCGATATCATTTGTATCTTTTTTTGGGTAGTTATTCAGCTTGAATTGAACCTCAGTTACTTGTGCATCTGTCGCAGCTCCTGTTGTATCCCAAGCTGCTGGACCATTTCAATCTTCATCTGCCTTGCTTGAATCTGGTTATACGTTGAGACCAGATTCAGCATCAGTGGTTGGAAATCCAATTGCCACTGCTTCTTTGTCTTCCTGGAGTTACAACTCTGTGCCAACTGTCACTATGTCTCAAGTGACTAAAGGTTTTAATTGTTCTTGCTCTGTTCTTACCTCTTTTTTTTCTTCTTTTCAAAAGTAATAACATATGGACATGTAATTTTCAGATGATGCGGTATTGGCTGGACCAACTATTGCACATAATGCTTGTTATAGTAGCAGTAATGAGAGCACTCCCAGAACTTGGTCATTTGGCGAAGCAATTGACCGAGGGGATCATGGGCAGAAATCTAGAGGTTAGTATTTTATTTCTTTCTTGGGCTTAATACTGGCATCCCTGGACCATGTTGCCATAACTCTAACCTACAACACTGGAACAGCAGGAAACATGTTTTCTGATGCGTGCAATTACTGAAAATAATTAATCTAACATCTACAATAATAATGGCATCTATAATGCGTTCTTCTGTGATGCACAGCAATTACAGTTTTAACACCTGCCACTTTTTACTAAATTAAGTGCTTGTTATCGAAAGATAATTCTGATTTGTTTAATTTATTTATTATCTTTACAGTTGACAAACTTAATAAGGTTTACTTTTGTCTCATGTATTTGAGGTTTTTTTATTGTTACAAAAAAATCATGTTTTTCCATTTGCAAGAAAATGATCATGCTGTCCCTGTTACTTTCATGATGAATTCTAGCTGCCTCATGACGAATCCTTCTCATATATTTGCTTTCTGTTGCTGTATGTTTTCTTGATGTTACTTACTAGATTATTCTATATTTTCTTGCTTCTCTTTATAGTTTTTACAATACTTATTTAAGATTATAAAAGATGGACATGTTATTTGTGGCCTTTGAATTGCCTAGTCCACCCTAGAGAACAGCTTGAATGGGATTTCTTCCCTTGGAGTTATAGCTGTCAGTCAAGCACTGGAGAATTAAGAACACCCGACGAACAAAAATCTTCTTGATACTCATATCTTCTATCATCATGTCCTGAACTTTCCTTTGTCCCATTAGTGATAAGTCTGCTTTCTATGTGATGCAGTTATTCCAGATTTTGCTCAGGTGTACAGCTTCATTGGCAGTGTCTTTGACCCCAGTGCAAGTGGGCACTTGCAGAAGTTGAAGCAGATGGACCCAATAAATTTGGAAACAGTATGTCACCTTAAATGATGTTAACAATCTGCAATTTTTTTTTATTTCTTTTAATTTGGAGGAGTCGGTGGGCTGTGTGCAAGAGAGAGAGGTGTCATGTTCTTAATCAAAAGCATATGGCTAACTCAATTGGCTTTCTTGGGCTCTTTGCAGGTGTTGTTATTGATGAGAAATCTCTCTGTCAATTTGACAAGCCCTGAGTTTGAGGATCATGTAAGTTGTTCCTCCATTTGTCAGCATCATATATTTATCTTCACAGTTGGCTCTTAAAAATACTTCATATTCTTTTGCATTTAAATTTGAGCTCTGCAACTGCCTTTGATGGAGAAGTCTGCAAATGTAGCATGGAAACCACATTCAAATTTGAATCTGAACTGTTTTCAATATCTCCCACCTTCAATTGAGTTGTATAAATCTCATCTTTGATTTTGTAGAATTTTGCACTTCTATGATGTTCTCAACATTTGAGGGTCGGTACGTCTTTAGATAAGTTTGAAAAGATTTTTGAATTTTTTGTGATTTTTCCTCTTTCATTTACTATATAGTAATTGATCATAATCATCACTTTCATTTTGGATATGTTACGATCATAAATCACCATTGCTATCATCATCATTTTGAGTATCATTTGGTGTCCTGCTTCTTGGCTTCTCTTTCCTGATCTGACTTGATGTTTGATCCAAGCACATGTAGTTATTACTGACACCTCTTGTCATTTCATTTTAAATAAATAATTATCACAATTTTTTGTTATTTAGTCAAAA